GCCAAGTTGCCCAGGCGGGTCTCGAACCCGCGGGTTCAGGCAATCCACTCACCTCAGCCTTCCAAAGTGCTGGGATTACAGGCTGAGCCACTGATCCTGCCCTATTTTTTTTTTGAAAGCAGGATGTATTAAGAGGACAAAAAATCTCCCACAATGGGAGGGGACCTGAGGGGGTTTCCCTATACTTTTAAATTCTCATCTTTACCTCATTTATTCACTTATGTGTTCATGGCACCAGTTAGTCTTCACAACCCAGGGGCTCAAGACCAGCTGGGCAACTTGGTGAGCCCTCATCTCTACAATAAATTTAAAAAATTAGCCGGGTGTGGTGGTGCGCGCCTGTAGTTCCAGCTGCTTGGAAGGCTGAGGCGTTAGGATCGCCGGAGCCCAGCAGGGGGAGGCTGCAGTGGCCATGAGCATGCCATTGCTCTCTAGCCTGGGTGATAGAGCGAGACTCCTACTCAAAAAACAAAACAAAACCCGTCTGTGAACCACCTAGATGAGAGATGGGAACCACGAGGGGACTTCAGGGGACAGGCCAGGACGCCATTCCAGAAAATCCCTTTGGAGGACAGTGAGGAGACCGGATGGTTGGGGCTGGGCACTGAGGTTCAGAGGAAAAGGTGAGGCTGGGTAGTCCAGAAAGGCATTTTCTGCAGAGCCTGGGCCTGTCGGAGTGGGCAGAGGATCTGTGGGGACTGTGGGAAACTCCGTCTGGCTCCAGCGGGCTCCGCTGGTGCGATGCTATCTGGGTCTTCAGCACTCTGTGAGCCGCCTTGATGCTGCCCTCCCCTGTTTCTGTTAGGCTGGTGAGCTCAAATTTCTCCTTTATTCAGAAAAAGGTGGGCTGGGCTCCGTTTTAAGAAACACCGCTATCTGGTGGTGCCTTTTTGTAATGCCAGCCTTGGTCATATTTCCTTTGTTGTCGGTAAGGCACAAGTTGCTAATTTAATATCCACTGACATGCTACTTACTCTTTTTTCCTCCCTCCTTTTCTTTTCTTTTCTTTCTTTTTTTTTTCTTTGAGAGACAGGGTCTCTCTGTCACTCAGGCTAGAGTGCAGTGGTGCAGTCAGTTCACGGTAGCCTCGAACTCCTGGGTTCAAGTGATCCTCCTGTCTCAGCCTCCTGAATAGCTAGGACTACAGGTATGCACCACCATGCCTGGCTAAATTTTTGATTTTTTAAAAATAGAGATGAGGTCTCGCAATGTTGCCCAGGCTGGTTTTGAACTCTTAGACTCAAGCTTCAGCCTCCCAAAGTGCTGGGATTACAGGTGTGAGCCCCAGCGCCCAGCCAGCATGTTACTTCCTGAGTCCTTAGGGCAGGCTCTGTGCTTGGCACTGGGATACGGCAGGGGATAAGACCGACAGACCAACGAGGACCCTTTCTCTGTGGAGCTGAGGTTCTAGGGGATGAGGCAGATGCAACACAAGCAAGCACACAGATGCCCTGGGTTTGCCACCCTGGGTCCACGGGAGGGGTGATGATGGTTCCCCATCATGTGCACATGCCGCTTGGTGACTTCACAGATGCCAGGGTCATGGGTAGAACATGGGTAGGGTGGCATCTGCCCAATTTTCTGTCCAATGTCTCACCTGCTGGCAGGCAGGGCCGGGCAGGGGGTCATAGTGGACTCTGATGATTCTCCTTGTCCAGCTGCCCCGCCGGTGCCTGAGCCTGGACCACAGCCTTCCTGCTAGGTTTATCAGTCACTCTGTGATCACTTCCAGTGACATAAAACTCGTTCTTCTAGCAGCTCCTTCTGCTGAAGATAATCCTTCCTCTCCTGGATAACTACAGTAGCCAACTTGTTTCCACCTCACCCCCACCCAACAGCCAGAGGCATTCCTGTGAAACCTTAAGTGTGATCGTGTCACTCATCTGCTCAGAATCGGCAGTGGCTTTTCATCATGCTTGGAATAAAATTCCATCTCCTTACAATAGTCAGCAAAGCCCTCTGTGCTATCTCTGCCCCCCTAATGTCACCTACCTCTTAACCTCCAGCTTATTTTGCGGTGTCTACACTGGCCTCCACTGTCCCTCCGACTTTCAACCTCAACCCCACCGCAGGGCCTTTGCACTGCCTGTTCCCTGTGCCTGGAACACTTTCCCCCAGAATCCTACACCGCTTCATCTGGCATCTCCTTGCGGTCTTCTGCTCAGATGTCTTTTGTCGTGGAGGACTTCCTTGACTCCTTTGTCTAGAACAGTTTCTTGTCCTCCACTCTTGTCACTCTTTTTTTTTTTTCGAGTCGGGGTTTCACTGTCACCCAGGCTGGAGTGTAGTGGCACGATCATGGATCACCACAACTTCGACCTCATAGGCTCAGGCAGTCCTTCTGCCTCAGCCACCTGAGTAGCTGGAACTACAGGCAGGTACCACCACTCTGGGGTAATCTTTTTTTTTTTTTTTTAACCCAACCCACTGGCCCGCCCCTAACTTTATTTTTTGTAGAGACAAGGGATCCTCCCACCTCTACTAGCCCAGGCAACTTGCTGAGACCTTGTCTCTACATACATCAAAAAATTAGCCGGGAGTGGTAGAACATGCCTGTAGTTCCAGCGACTCGGAAGGCTGAGGCCGAAGGATCGCCTGAGCCCAGCAAGTCAATGTGAGCATGCCACTGTGCTCCAGCCTGGGCGACAGAGTGAGACTCTGCTCCTTGAGGGCAGGGGCTTTGCTCATCTGTGCTTCTGGCTCCCAGCTCAGTGCTCTGCACACAGTAGGTCCTAAATAGTTGCTGAATGAATGCATAAAGACTCCCGTTGGGCCAGCTTTGATGATAAACTCAGTGCACCGCAATGGTCCTTGCCACAACTCTGAGACTGCAGCTCGAATCCAGGTTTGTCTGACTCCAAATCCTTGGCTCAGCTTAGGGGTTCTGCCTCTTAAGCCCTCCTTGCCTCATCTGCAAGGCATAAGGAGTTGGGGTCCTGGCGAGTGACAGGCGGCGCCCCCCCAGAAGGGAAGAACGGAAGAGCATTTTACAAGGGTTCTGTTCACAGAGGTGAGTGAGGCAGGGTGCTGGAGGAAGCCGTGTGGCCTAAGCCTGCTGGGAGCAGGATCCCGGCGAGGCCCCACGCCCAAGTGGGGTCCTAGAAGCATCTTGGCCTTGCTCCCCTCTGTCCTCTGACCCCTTAACTCTGCTGGCAGTCAGGGGCCCTGAGAGTCTACGCAGTACACGGTTTCCCGGATCACAGGGCAAGGCAAGGAAAGGCTGAGGATGGATCAGAGAGCACAGCCGCAGGACATCGTGAGGATTAAAAGAAGTTGCCTATGTGCCTGGCTTGGCCCAGCACCAAAGCCATGCATGATGGGATTATCAGGCAGATGGGGACGCACTGATGAATTTTGGGTTGCCACACTTGGTCTCTTCCTCCCTCCCTCCTCCTTCCCACCTCCCTCTCTCTGTCCCTTTCTTGTTTGCTTCTGCTTTTCCTTCCTTCCTTCCTCCTCTGAGCATTTCAACTCTGCTACGATGGGCAGGTTGAACCGCTTGCTCCAAGAAAAACGTGTGAAATCTCTGAGATGGATGCAAACAACATGTGACTTTCTGAATTGTGAGAAGCAACGCGGTCTGTTTTTACAGCATGATAACCCCGTTTGCTCATCAAGGATACACATTTGTGGTTTGGTTTTTTTTTGAGTTGGAGTCTCACTCTGTCGCCCAGACTGGAGTGCAGTGGCCATTCCCGGTCACCGCAGCCTCAGCCTTCCAAGTAGCTGGAACTACAGGCGTGTGCTACCACGCCCGGCTGATTTTTTGATTTATTGTAGAGATGAGGGCTCGCCAAGTTGCCCAGGCGGGTCTCGAACCCGCGGGCTCAGGCAATCCACTCACCTCAGCCTCCCAAAGGCGTGGGATTACAGGCTGAGCCACCGAGCCCGGCTGCATTTGTGTTTTTTAATTCACATTTTCACCGTGCTGGGCCGGGATGCGTCTCCTAGCGGGTGAGTGCTTTTCCTGAAGACAGGCCTCATCTTTCTTGTTCACGACTGTGTTTCTGGCGCCCAGGACAGAGCCTGGCTCACGGCAGATGCTCAGTAAATATTTGGGGGAATGAGTTAAGTAATTCTGACAGTGGTCGCCACTTTGTGGGTGCAGGAAACGTGAGTGTGTGGCACTCTCGAGACTTGCTGGCACTCCCGCAGACTTTCTCTGGCTGGGGAAGCACACAGATTCATTGTCTCTGCCAGAATGCCTTCCTTGTCTGATTGGCTCCAGTCCTGATCTGAGACCATGGACTTGGAAAGAAGAATGGAAGGTCCTAGGGGTTACATCATGATCCCTCAAGAGCAGGGGCCCCCGGCACCTTCCTTCTGTTTATTTATTGACTTATTTATATTTTATTTTTTTGAGTCAGGGTCTCACCCTGTCATCCAGGCTGGAGTGGAGTGGCACACCGCAGCCTCAACCTCCTGGGTTCAGGAGATCCTTCCGCCTCAGCCTCCTGAGTAGCTGGGACCACAGGCGTGCGTCACCACACCCAGCTAAATTTTTGGGTCTTTTTATAGAGATGAGGTCTTGCTATGTTGCCCAAGCTGGTCTCAAACTCCTGGGCTCAAGTGATCCTCCTGCTTTGGCCTCCCAAAGTGCTGGGATTATAGGTGTAAGCCACTGTGCCTGGCCTATCTGTTTATTTAGTTTAGAGACAGGGTCTCATTCTGTCACCTGGAATGCAGTGGCGTGATTGTAACTCACCGCAGCCTCGTCCTCCTGGGCTCAGGTGATCTTCTTGCCTCAGCTTCCTGAGTAGCTGGGACTCCAGGCATGCGTCACCACACCCAGCTAATTTTTTAATTTTCTGTAGCGACGAGGTCTCGTTACGTTGCCCAGGCTGGTCTCAAACTCCTGGGTTCAAGTGATCCTCCCGCCTTGACCTTCCAAAGTGCTGGGATTACAGGTGTGAGCCACCACACTTGGCCTAGATGTGTATATCCTTTGCAAGTAGCTTCTTTCTACTCTAGGTTGTTGATGGTGTCGCTGTGGTCTACTTTCCCTTCTGTAGAGAACTAGCTAGCATTTATTACACACCTGCTGTGTGCCGTTAGCAAATGCTTTGCATGTCGTATTCGACCGAATCCTTAAGGCCACCCTATCAGGCATATACTCTTCTTGTTTCCATTTGACAAAAGAAGAAATCGAGGCATGGAGCACTGAAAGCCATTGCCCTAAGCACTTAGGAAATGTTTTTCTGAAGGAACAAGTGATGGAAACAGCCTAGACAGGGTGATGGAGACATAAAATGTGGAATTCTAAGTTTAGGGGGACATATCAACAGTTGTCACGGGAAACTTTCAAGGACAGCGTGGACTCGGGTTTGCAAGAGCTGCCATGTTCAGGAAGGTGCTTTAGCGGGCTCAGCTTGTGCAGAAGGTGGAGAAGACCCAGGTGCTGGCCAGCCAAACCCCACAGATGTTGCTCTTGGGATGCCGCCTTCTCTTCCAGCGGTCGCCTGCGCTGTGGCAGGATGGAGCAGCTGGAGTCGCTGTGTCAAGCCCTGCCAGGTGTCCTACCGTGTTCGCCGGAGGCGTGTCCTACAGGAGCCAAGGAATGGGGGTGTCCTCTGCCCCCCCCTGGAAGAGCGGGCTGGCTGTGTGGAGTACCAGAGCCTCCAGGGAGTGGAGTGCCAGCAGGCCCTGGGTGAGTTCGGTGGGCCCAGGGGCGGCTCTCGGCGGGAACTGCCTGACTGGACTCAGGGCCCTCCCGGAGTCCTGGGTGGGTTTTGGGTTGGGGGTGGGGCTTTGTCCTCCTTTGCTCTGATCCCTCCTCCTCACCTTGTGAATGAGTTGAGAAGCTCTAACTTCCACAGAGCTTCTCCGTGTCGTCTTTACACTCCTCTCCCTGTGTGAATCGGTCAGGACTTTGAAGGCAGGTGACAGTAAACCCAACTTAAACTGAACTGAGCAAAAGTGTGTGGCTCCTGGGGCTACTTTCAGGCATGGCTGGATCCAGGTGCTCAAGCAGTGTTGCCAGGAATCTCTCTCCATGCCTCAGCCCTGTTTACCTCTGGGTTGGCCTCATTCTCAGACAGGTTCTTCCCTAACATGGTCCTTGAGAGCGCCAGGCTTCCCTCCAGCCAGCCTGGCACCTGGAGGAGAAGACATCTTTCCCTACAGTTCCAGCAAATGCCCTAGGATGAAGTCTTACTCAGAGCCGGATTCACGTGACTACTGCTGAACTGACCATTAAGGCCAGGACAATGGCATATTCTGATTGGCCAAGGCCGGGGCATGTGCTCCCTTTGAAGCTGGGAGGGTGGGTCAGCCCCATCTGAATGACAGTGGGGAGGAATGTTCGCCAAAGGAAAACTAGGGGTAATGCAGCTGCCTGGTACTTTGCCCATCCTGATGGAGGGCTTTTGTGTGTGTGTGTGTGGTAGTCTCACTTTGTGCCTGGGCTGGAGTGCAGGGGCACATTTATGACCACCGCAGCCTCCACCTGCTGGGCTCAGGTGATCCTTCCACCTCAGCCTTCCAAGTAGCTGGAACCACGGGTGTGTGCCACCACAACCGGCTAATATATATATATATTTGATTTATTATAGAGACGAGGTCTCACCAAGTTGCCCAGGCTGGTCTGGAACCCCTGGACTCAGGCAATCCCTTCACCTCCGTCTCCCAAAGTTCAGGGATTACAGGTGTGAGCCACTGCGCCGGACTGATGGAGGGCTTTTATAAATCACTACAAAAAATAGCGATGCCCCTTTCGCAGCTGAAGAAATTGATCAAGAGAGTGAATGTGACTTTCCTAAGGGGCAGAGGACAGCAGTAGGGCTAAATTGTCCCCTTCTGATGCTAGTCCCCATGCTACTGCCTGGCAGGGAGAGGAGGTCATTTTCAAAGATCCCATCATGGCGCCACCCTCCTGCTCTAAATTCTTCAGTCGAAGTCTAAGGTCCTCACGGCTATATAAGTTCCATGTGTGCCGACTCTTGTCTCCTGGGACCTGTTTCTTTCCTCCTTCTGCCTATTTTTATTTTGTTTATTTATTTATTTATTTATTTAGAGTTGGAGTCTCACTCTGTCGCCCAGACTGGAGTGTAGTGGCCGCTCCCGGCCACCGCAGCCTCGACCTGCTGGGCTCCGGCGATCCTTCCGCCTCAGCCTTCTGAGTAGCCAGAATTACAAGCATGCGCTACCACACCCGGCTGATTTTTTTTATTTATTGTAGAGATGAGGTCTCGCCTGCCCAGGCGGGTCTCGAACCCGCGGGCTCAGGCAATCCACTCACCTCAGCCTCCCAAAGGCGCAGGATTACAGGCTGAGCCACCGAGCCTGGCTATTTATTTCTGAGTCGGGATCTTGCTGTGTTTCCAGGCTAGAGTGCAGTGATGGGATCACGCCTCACCGGAGCCTAGACCTCCTGGGCTCAGGTGATCCTCCTGCCTCAGCCTCCTGAGTAGTTGGGACAACAGGCGTGTGCCACCATGCCTGACTAATTTTTTTGATATTTTTGTAAGGACAAGATCTCGTTATGTTACCCAGGCTGGTTTTGAACTCCTGGGCTCAAGCAATACTCCCGTATCAACTCTTTAAAGTTCTGGGATTTCAGGTGTGAGCCACCTTGCCTGGCCCCCCGCCTGTATTTATTTTATTTTATTTTATTTTTTTTGAGTTGGAATCTCACTCCGTTGCCCAGACTGGAGTGCAGTGGCATGCTCCTGGCCACTGCAGCCTCGACCCGCTGGGCTCAGGCGATCCTCCTGCCTCAGCCTTCCAAGTAGCCAGAACTACAGGTGCGCGCTACCATGCCCACCTAATTTTTAAAATTTATTATAGAGATGAGGTCTTGCCAAGTTGCCTGGGCGGGTCTCGAACTTGCAGGCTCAGGCAATCCACTTGCCTCAACCTCCCAAAGTGTTGGGATTACAGGCTGAGCCACCAAGCCCAGCCTCTCTGCCTGTATTTTATTTTATTTTACTTATTTATTTATTTTGAGTTGGAGTTTCACTCCGTCGCCCAGACTGGAGTGCAGTGGCCGCTCCTGGCCACCGCAGCCTCAACCCACTGGGCTCTGGCGATCCT